CTTGCAATGTGGCGGTTATCGTTGCGTCTTATTTCTAAAAAATACACCTTATGATGGTTGGCAGGCTAGCTAGTGTATACTACTTGAAGGACTGAAAAGACAACGGAAGAGGGATAACTACATTGCTAATTTACTAACTCTATAAGATTTAAAGAGATATTGACACAAACATCCACACTCTCTATGTTTGTGTTGCGCACCTAACAATCCTATGTAATATATCTAACCTACCTAGTTAATTATAGTTAACTATTACAATAAGCCAAAGTCTTTTAAATCAAGCAATTAGGTAATTAACAATTATAAAGTCACCGACGCAAGGTGATGATGGTCGCAACGGCGGTATGCCATTTCGGTATGATTTAAAGCCAGACTGCGAATAGTAGCGAGCATTTAAGCGTATTGATATTCTTTATTAATCGCGCGTATATGACGCTTTAGTATTCGGAGGATATTCCTCGGGTATCTACCTATCTATCTTGATGTACCTGTCCGAGATATAATAATGTGATATGTGATATATGCGCGCAAGATGGCTGAACCGTCTGCTCGGATTCGTACTTCTTAGCCACGATTACATTACCTTAAACGTCATCCTTACGACGCCACTGGCTTCGGCGTTGGCTTTTATATATAGGTAAGTTAGGTAGGTTAGGTTAGGTACCTAAGCGGCAGAGCCAGTTCGTATCGGGTGGTTGCAGGTCGGATCGTGTCTTCGTCCCATGGGAGGCGAGGGGTAGGTTAGGTACCTTAGCCTCTCTGGTAATTGCAGGATCTCGAAGAAAACGGACTGGCTGGTGTATTTGGGTTACTACATAACTAATACATAACTAATGGAAATACCTAGATCCCGGAAAAGCAAGGGGGGAGTAAGTTATTCCCCAGATCTCGGTAGTGGTCGCACACGAGGGGAGTACAGATCAGTCTAATCTGACATCAAAGGATACCTGATCTCGCTTGGCGATATTAAATGCGTCCAACGCATGTAGACCCATGTAGGCACGATCTGCGCTCCACGCAATGCCTTGGTAAGGTAGCTAGTATGTCATGGAACTGCGCTTGAGTAGGTCCCTATCTCTCTTAGGAGGTACTCGTACATGCGCAGAGGTCGAGTTGTTGATGGAGATCCCCCCTACCCCTGAATCCTTGGGCCAGATACCTGATACCAGTTAGGTAACCGTTAAGCCCGCGTGTGGCGCATAACGACCAAGAAATACCACGTAGTATATCGTATCTTTACTTGGGATCCCATTACCTTTTCGTTCGGGTATCTCGGAAGACATCAATTGGGGCGGACCGATAATAGCGGCCGCATTTGCATACGCCTTTATACAAGGTTTATTCGTGAATATGGTATAACTCGTATGTCGCCTCGTCAATATACTATGCCGTAAGTCCGGGTTGTTCTATAGGACCTCGTAAATGATGCTAGAATGAGGAAGCCGGATGCCTGCATCTGCAAAAGCCAATCGTAGTTCAAGTAACGCAACCCTTTTACTCTCCGAATAGCATCTCGGAGACAAGCGAGCCTTCGGTAGACACTAGTGGAAAAGAATAATACTAATAATCTTGGCTATATACCCGTATGGTCGGTTTCCTTACCGACGATATCGAAAAATACGGTTCTGCTACGTTCCAGCTAGCCCCCATCAAGTACTACAAACCGACTGCGGGTGTATAATCATAAAGCCCTGAGAGATGTGACTTCGGGATGTGGTGGTTTTGTGTCAAAGCCGAGCGATCCTCTCGACGGCTTCCCCAAGCCAATCCCACTTCGTAGCACCGAACCACGAGGCTTGTGTAGTGTGGGTTGGGCCTCGTGTAGTGTAACGGGATACATCCGTAGAAGGTTGAGTCCGTGTCTCTTTAAATATCCTTGAACCTTGCCAAGCATATATGACTTCTGTACTGGCCCATACACAAGGCTTTACACTACATGATCTTATCACACCTCCTTTTCCTTCACACGTCAGTTGATATGCATGACTAGTAAAGAGGACTCGTCCCCCTTGTTCTGGGAAGTACATCTTGAGAAATACAAAGCGTCTTTCTACGATATTATTTCGAAATAAAAGTATAGGAGACATGCTAATATTAGTCCAGGCTGATAAAGATCTCGATAGACTCGCATAAGTGACCTTTAAAGCTATTTACAGGGACTTATGCCTACGGAACTTTCCATATAGCTGCTTAGTCCCGCATATACTATCCAAAGATACCCCCAGTAATAACAACTTAAGGCTTAATATGGAGGTGACATAGAAGCCTCTTCATGACCTGACTACGTCGAATCCTCCTGCTGTACCGTTTGAACGCCTCCAATGCCACGCCGAGATGAAGAGAGGCGCCATGAACGACTATGTACTACAGAGCTGAATCATGTTCTTTACTTACCTGTCAAGAAACCCAGCCAGTAGCGCTGATAGAAGTCTACATGGGGCAGCAAGTACACGAAAACGACCATGGTACCTACAGAAAGGGTTGCTGATAGGAAGTTGTGCAGTAAGCTATGCAAGCTTGAGCTATCGCCATGCACACCGCCTCATATACTACCGCTTACACGATCCGAGCTATTCATACTCCTCGTTGTCTCAGCCCTAGCGAGATACAGATTCGAAACGACGGTCGTGACTATAATGGAACAACCTAGTAGTTCAAGAACGAACTTGAGTTACCACTCAGTCAACCATACAAGCCATCTGTTCGCAAACTATGACGGGGTTCCCCTTGTATCTTGAGCTGTTGTGTGCTATTGTCCGCGAAGACAAAGAAGGCTTTTTGTATAAATGATAATATAACTACCTACTTGCCTTCAAGACATGTCTGGCTGTTTAATAACGCATTGAGTGTAACAGATATCTAATAAGCACCCCTGAATTCAAACAGCTCAGTAATATACAGGAATTTTGACTAACTATGTCTTTGATAACATATATAGCCCTAGTTCTCGGGAGTTGGATTACTTACACTCTCCGGAACTGGTACCGACTTAGACATATCCCTGGACCATTCTGGATCTGCTCTACCAAGCTTTGGCAAATTACAACACAGATAAGAGGAAAATGGTACCTAGAACTGAGAAAACTTGGGGATCAATATGGTATGTTTTTTTTATCACGACTTAAGTCCCCCCCCTATTTTTTACTAACTTTCGTAGGCGACCTGTTCCGGATCGGTCCAAACCAGCTTATGACTACTGATGTTAATATCATCCGTCGAATGGCCCATCCTAGATCGGCCTATACAAAAGGACCATTCTACCAGACGTTCAGGTTCAACCCTACGCAAGACAACTCTTTCTCACTTATCGACGACAAGGAACACAGCCGCCGCCGAACAAACTTCGGCCCCGGCTACACCGGCAACGCACATGTAGAATCCTGTGTTGATCGACAATGTGCCCGATTAGTAGATCTCATCGAACGTAAGTTTATCTCAACCTCAAGCGAGTATCGGCCACTAGACCTAACGGCGGCGACCTTTTTCTTCGCGATGGACTGCGTAGGAGATCTATCATTCGGTCGACCGTTCGGATGCCTAGATGAGGGAACGGATGTCCACAAATTCGTAAAGTGGAACGAGGACTTCTTTTCAACCGCCATCGTGATATCGAATTTCCACTGGTTAACCAAGATCTTCTTCAAGCCCCCCTTTAATAAGATCTATCCGTCGACCCTCGATGTTGACGGCGTTGGCAAGTACATGGCGTAAGTCTTAACATACTTCTCAGAACTGTATAAGATTCTTCTACTAACTCCCGAGTTAGACTCGCGCAAGCTGCAGTTGAAAAGAGCCTGAGTGACGGCCCAGATCGACGAAAAGATGCCCTTGCCGCTTTCCTTGAGCATGGCGCTACTAAGGAAGAAGCTATCAACGAATTGATGCTGCAGGTGTAGGTATTCCCAGTAACAACGCCCAAAGATTATTAGAACTAACAATGTCAATATAGTGTTGCTGGAACAGACTCGACTGCAACGGGTATCCGCATGACTCTCCTACTCCTCGTCGCCAATCCGATGGCATACAACAAGCTCAAGGCAGAGATAGACGACGCAATCGCGAAAGGAAACGTCAGTTCGCCGATCAAGGACACCGAATCCCGACAGCTACCGTACTTACAAGCCGTCATCAAAGAAGGTCTTCGTACATTCCCCGTCGTAACAGCCACGTTCTTTAAGAAAGTCCCCAGGGGAGGCGATACCATCAGCGGGCACTTCGTCCCTGAGGGTACCGAAGTCGGCCACAACGTCTTGGGCATTATGCGAGCGAAGAAGTACTGGGGCGACGATGCGGACGTCTTCCGGCCTGAGAGGTGGCTCGAGGCCGACGAGAGTACTTTCGAGATGATGGAGGGCGTCTTGGAGACTCTTTGGGGATCAGGCCGGTATAAGTGTCTTGGTCGGACTATCGCCCAGATGGAATTGAACAAAGTATTTGTTGAGGTATGTCCTGGCGTTAGTAGTGGTGTATAGTCGACACAACTCTGACATTAGCTTCCACCCTGTTAACATCCTTCCTTTCTATATAACAAAGCTAACCAACCCAATCTAATAGTTACTTCGGCGCTTCGACTTCTCCATCGTCACCCCGCAGAGCCCGGTAGATATTATAAACTCGGGATTCTTCCTCATGTCCGAAATGAAGATGCGAGTCACGAAAAGGGGGAGTACGCACGAGGAGAAGATGGAGTAAGATCAAAGCCTCTAGGCGCGGCTGTATTAAACATTGAGAGATATAGATTCAAGAGTCATCTCTCACGACATATAATACCCCGAAAAGTTGTATACCCAGTTGATGTTAAGAAGACAATCATTATACCCAGAATCGAAAGTCTAAAGCATTGGATACCCACGATAACTGACTTACCAACAGTGTTTATTAGTTACTTTTCCTTCAACCATAGATAGGTAAATAATCTTAATATATCATTTCTGTCGTAGCAGACTTCAAGTTAAAGCAAACTATAACCCCTATTAATAGACTAACTACCTATTTAAAGTCTACAGTATAACGGCTAAATGAGCATCACTAACACATCACTCAAGCAAGCCCATCAAGCGTCAAAGTCCCCTTCAACACCACAACCGCCGTCCCACCCAGCCACAAATCCACCAACCCAACCTCCCCCTCAGCACCACCCCCCCTCGTCGTAGTCTCAACACTAATATCGCTCTTCCGCCCCATCTCCACCCCCTGCGTAACTCTAAACATCCTCCCCATCCTCTCCTCCTCCAGCGTAAGATACGCCGCCAGCGCCGACGCCGCGCTCCCCGTAGCCGGGTCCTCGAACCCCACCTCCACCATGCGCGCGCGAATACCCCTAGCGCCGCCCCCCTCCTCCTCCCCCTCCTCCTCCTCGCCGCCCACATCCACGTAGTAATACCGACACACGAAACCGCCCCCCCAGGGCCCCTCGTCCAGCAACGGCCTAGGCAGCGCCTCGAAGTCGAGCCTGTACCCCGTGCTGACGCGCGAGAGCAGCTCCAGCGACGCCAGCCGCACCAGCACGAACGCCATGCCCTTGACGATGCTGAACACCGGGGCCCGCAGCTCCGCCTCCCGGATCTGCGCGTCGGGCGAGAGCCCCGCAGCCGCCGCTACATCATCGACGACATCCGCGAGCGTCTGCGCGTGCAGGTGCACGTCGTGCGGGATCTTAGCGCGGATCCGGCTCTCCGGCTGCGGGGCGATACCAATAGGACCGGCTTTCGTGACGAGCGTCTGCACGTGCGGGTGCAGGTGATACTTGACCAGCACGGCGGTGCCGATGGTCGGATGGCCGGCAAATGGGATTTCCCGTTCGACGGTGAAGATATCGACGTGGCGCTCTTCGCTCCCAGCGTCCGGCTCAGCTGCGTCGTGCAGAAATACCGTCTCCGAGAGATTGAACTCCTGCGCGATCTTCTGCTTGGTGGCTTGTGTGAGGCTGTCTTTGAGTGCCGCTGGGACGGTGACTACGGCGAGGGGGTTGCCTTGGAGTCGCTGGGACGTGAAGACGTCGAGGGTGACGAATTGGAGAGACATTTATAACAGCCTAGGTTAGGTACCTAAGGTAAGAGGTAAGTAACCTATTCAATTTATTAAGCCTCGAGGGGTAGTTGATAAGTAGTTAATCTTCTACTATTTTGAACCTATCGATGGTATAAAGACTATAAGCACTTATATGTTGAAGTTGACATCGATGAGCTGAGTCATAATTAAGAAAATTGCCGCTTTCGGAAGAGCTACTGAGTCTTATAGGTGGAAGCGTTAATAAGCTGCCTATTAAGGGGTGTGGAGATGATGCATCGTATTATTATGAAGTCGGTTAGGGCGCGGATACCCACTAATTTCAGTATTAGAAGTTCGAATACATTCATTGATTAGAGCCCCTATAAGAGAGGACGATTCATAGTTACATATGTATGTATTCAAGCCAAGTAATTGGACTGCTCTCAGGATAGATAATAGGTTAATACACCCCGTTATGCTCATTATGTGATATGTCCTCTATGCTATGTTTTCGAAAGGTGCAAAAGCAAATCCCATTAAACCAGCTGGTGGTTCTGGGTAGTGGTGCAAAAAGCCATATAGGCATAATACACAAAGTGTATACGTATTCTGTACAATATTCGTCACCCCTTGGCGATTTCTGAGTCTTTAGCGGATGGTTCTTAGCAAGGTTTTCTACACGCAATGTGTATGCTATAGACTTGTCAAGTTTGGACCGTCTCGACCGTTTCGACCCCGGCACCGGACTGTAACGCAACAACCAGAGTAGTAAGCCGATCAATCTTTGCTGCCAACTCTGAGATTCGAACCTCCACATCGCTAGGTGCTTCTCCAGCATAATCATCAATAACTCGTTGCTGAGGCCTCGGCTTATGAATCACTTCCGCGCTAGTAGCGTGCGGTGTTGGAATACGCGGTCGATATCCCGATTGTGGTCTGCTCCCTAGTCCACCAGGTGGTGCGGCATTTCGTTTAAAAGAATTCTGTCGTGGGCCGCGGAAGTTGTCGAAACCGTCGTGGTTAGCCTTATTGGTGAACCACTCGTAGACCTGAATAGCTCCGACGATTGGTGCGTGCGTTGCCCGGAGAAGTAGGATACGTGCTTGCCGGAACTTATCATCTGAGGGTAGGAATAGACGTAGAGGCCTGAATATTCCCAGCGCGAGGAGATTGAATGGAGCTTTTAATTCGAGTTAGCACGGCACATATAAATGCAATAAGAGGAATTACCTACGGTAGAAATGCGTGAGCCTGTTGCTGGTTGATGCCTCAAGAACGTATACGCTGTAGACATAGAGGTATTCTTCACGGGCGTGCGTAATTACTCTCGAGAAACTATTACTGAGCATACCCGTCAGGGAACCCATAAGTAAAATGGAACTTAGCGTAACAAAAATCAACATGAGAGGAGGTCCTAGAGGAGGAGTTAGAATATATACGCCGGTTGAGTGAAAAGGAAGAAAATACCGAAGATGGGGTCGATTTCCTCCATAATGTCAAACCCAACGTAACTAGACCCAAAAAAGATCTTGGTCACGATCATGGCCATGTGCGAAAATGAGTATGCCTCCCTCCCGACGAGAGAAAAGGTTGTTAAAAACCCGACATATACAATGATAACTAGAACCATGAATTTCAAGAAGTCTTTCCCCATCTCTTTAAGACAAGGTATTAAAGTACCCCAATATGGGGACAAGCTAAATATCGAGCAGACTCTAGGTACCATGAAGAGGGCCTCAAGCGACAAGACATCAAACCCAATATCCACAAGGGTATAATCAGCTTTATATAAGCCAACGAATCCTATCGCCGAAGATTAGCTCATGCCGATTTAGATTGAACGGAAAGCGTAGAATATCAAATGCTTACTCAAAATTGCAAAGACGATTCCAATGGCAATCATAATCATATCAAATAAATTCCAGATATCTGCCGCATAGAAAATCGACCCAGCATCGATGTATTCGCTGACCTCATCGTAGAAGAAGGCGGCGAACCAGACGTAGAGTAGTATTTCTAGAGGTGTAATGGCGTAACGATTTTGTTCGATCAATACGCTATAGTATAACATTAAAAATCCAACGAAGAACGCAACCTCATAAGCTTTGAGATACTTGGGTACTCGAAGTCGCGAGAAAGGGTCGGCCGTGCTAGGATTGTAAAATCGAGGTTTCTTCTCCGAATGGACTGAAAGACGGTCCCAGAAGATAATCTCGCCGTTCCAAATGCCTGTAATGATCTTCTGCACCACGTGCTGGCTAAGAAACCTCTTTGCATCAGCAATCGCCGCTATTTCTAAGCCATTCAAATGCGTGAAAGATTCAGTAGGGTCATCTTCCGGTTCTTCGACCTCAGTGGCATGCCGACTTATAGTCAATTTCGAGATTGATTGAAACAATTGGCTTCGTCTCGTAGACCCAAACCGATTGTCCGAGCGGCGGTCTGGTGAGGGAGACCTAGAAGGGCGGTACAGTAGAGAGCTACGCTCGTTGCTCTCACCACCATCTGCGGGCTCGTCGGTAAGGGATGTATCTCCTTGGCTACCATCCGGGATCTCGTAAAGACAAAACTCGACGGCTTCCCTCTCAGATAGACGAGTTAAAAACCTCCAGGCAACAATCTCGCAAGCATTTGCACGAGCTTCACTGATACCTCGACCATCGCTTATCGAACCGTAATGCCATCTTAGTGCCCTATGTTTTCATTAGTAACGATTCTATGGTTCGTGAATTGGTTGTCAATTTGAGAAATCCTATCATTACAATGCGTCACCGTGGTGAAAGTTTGGTAATAATTAAGCACTTGGATAAGGAAATAGCATTGGACACAGTGGTTAAACCCGATATTAATGAAGCATCTCACAGTAAAGCATTTACGATTGCGGGATTGGTGACACGGGTGCTAAGATGGTTAACAAGGGCGTGTAGATCGTCACCGGCCGATGTAGTCCTTAGTTGTTCGAAGGTACTTGGCAAATAAACTACCCCAGTTACATATCTACAATATTGATCAGCGAGAACTTAAACTGAGTATCCAAGAGAGGAATCAGCTTACATGGAAAGCTTCTTAACGACATCGCGGAAGACATCTTCATGTGCGATATCAGGGAGGGGAACTTCTGTAGGAACAGAGACAGGTGACAAAGCACGATCTGGGGTCGCCAAGGGACGCGACTTGACGCGAATTGGCATCGTAATTAGATGCTTAAATCAACCCCTTTACACGTATAAAAGTTCAAAGTTAAAAGTTCATTATATACGAGCCGGGTGTGTAGGAAGTCCGAGGAATATCAATGTGCGGAAAGAGTGACGACAATGCGTTTCTACATAAGAGCAAAATGCGGAGGTTAAACTGGGTACGGAGTTGCTGCGGCCGTTGCGGGATCGAGATATTAACGGCCCGTGCTTTTGCTTGATCCCTTTCCTTCGTCATATCCTAACCTAGTACCTATCACTTTCCTAGAAAGGGAGATAAGCGCTTTCACGATGGGGTCAACTGTAGCTAAAATTTAGCATCCTTCAAACTCCCCGCAAAACTTGATATCGTCACAAAGAGGTACATAAAAATGTTGTTGGCTTGATTAAAAATATGCATGTCCCTGCAGAGTTACCTCACTGAGCATTCAGGGTCCTCAAAGGTAACACGAGAGAGGTACCTCAGATATGTAGGTAGGTACCTACCTACATACCGAGGCTTATTGCCACACCCGCCACAAACTGCTTATCGATGTGTGGCGGTGCTGACCTTCGCAGCTTCGGTGCCCGGAATCATGAATCTCTAATAATCCTGTTTTGCATTGCAACCTACACTTTACATACATTTTCCATAGGTAACTCGTAATAGAAGGCGATAACTCTCCTTCGATTAAGAATTTCGCCTCTTGACTAACGAATAACCTTTTCCCAAGTTGTAACAACAACCAACCACCTTAGCAAATAAAAATGACAGCATCGCTCAAATTCGTTTACAGATAGCCAATGGTTTAAGACGCTAGATTCCGAATTCTTCGTATCCATTATCCATTATCCATTATTCATCACCGCTTATTCCACAGTAGTGTCAAGTCTGCGGGTCGTGTCTTGTCTGCCGCCCATCTGGATGGATTATCGTCTAATCGGATAATTGATCGACTTAATAGTCACTTACCATCACGAGCACGGTCGTTGACCTTGTTTCTTCTCCAATGGACATCCGCGAAGGCCCACCGAATTTTCGCTCCACGTCGCTGTACCACACTATGCTCAAAGTTCGCAAGTAGCGGCGTTTAGCTGTGCAGGTAGTCAAGAAGACGCTGGAATAGCCGCCATGTACGCATGACATATGATATGGTTAGCTGGATCATTGCGTGGGCCCTCAATAGGCTCCGGAAATCGCATGTTCCACTCCTAAATAGATGCACCACGAAAGGAGAGGACGGATTAGAGTGCACAGATTCTCGCTATTGGCAACTCGATGCTATCTACGGCGGGATTCCTCTGCTACATTGTTGCCATTTTACCACTAAATCGATGCAGGTACAAAGGCATCCTACGATCTGCTTGCATTATACTAGGCGGCTTAGCATATCCGGTCTAACGTCCCGGGAGATGCCAGACGTTGTGCCCAGATAGCTGGCTCAAGATAAAGTTGCTTAAAAGGGCCCAGCCCGATTTAGGTTGCCTCAATCGGCATCCAAAACTTCCTCGGTTCTCGCAGCCAGATTGGCTCTTAACGGGAGACCGAGATGCAGGTATGCGGTAACTAACAGCCCGGAATAGTCTCTCGTACCGTTCGGCCGGTATCACAGGTATACCTTGTTTCACTTTTTGGCATCTAAACAAACACCGAAGCTGCACAGTTACTACACTTGAATGCCGTTTTCTTGGTCGCGGAAGCGAAGACCGGGCTGCTCAATCACATAGAAAGTGTGACGACGGCAACTATCTGGGGTGCGTTCCTCAGTGTTACAGTCGCTATGTCATTGATATACATAGTAGCAAGCTACAAGCCTACTTCTACAGGGTAAAATCTAGACCACAAAAAAGATGTTACCGAAGTCATTGAAGGGTGGGCAGTACCCCTGCGGCCCTGCGACCCTGTCACCCCTGGAGCCATTCATCGTCTTCCCGCCTGTGGCTGTGTACATTCTACCACATCTACCTTAATTGGCCATGCATGTCTATAAAAAGCTATTTCAGCAAATATACACTTTATGATTCGTCATAGCCTTCCCCATAAACTACCTGGCGCCAGGGCACAGGGTCCGGCGGCGTGTAGCGAAGAACCCTGGGACCGATTGGCTTTTCCACAGATGCGCCGATCGATGGTATATGTATTGTGTTGGCGTGTTAGCGAACATATGTAGAGAGAACTTGATTCTGCCGGTGGCAATACCTCTGCCACAATTACCGTTGAATAGGCATTCTTCAAAGACCCTGAGAGAATGTTTCAATGTTTCCATCTCCATCATCATCATCATCATCATCATCATCATCATCATCAAGTATCAGATAATTCGAACGAAACATTCTTTTATTTTCATCGAACCCCTCTTCATGCACAGCTTACAAGATTTATGTCGCCTGTGCTATGGATAGGAACCGCTGCTAGATGCTGTAAGACAGCACGACGCTATAGGTACCTATTTCTAGATCGTGCAGACAAGAATCAATCTTGAGCAGGTCTCAGCCTTGTTGTGTAACACCCTGGTCATGCATGTGCAGTAGTTGACTGCTACCTTGTCTGCCTTGGCCTCTTTTTCTTTAAAGAAGACCCTTCTCATCGACATCCGTCTTCCTTGTTCCTTCTCGATCTTGATGCCAATTTGGTTTGAAATTTACTATACTCCCTCACCATCCCAACTTGGCCGATCGTCTGGTCCTGGGTTTAAATCATGGCTCGCTCAGTATCCAGCGCCGGCTTTCTACGCCTTCCGCCGGCTACTGCTGCACTCCTTCTCAGCGCGGCATTTGGGTTGACGAGCGGTCATGTGCTTCCCAGACAGACGAAAACTGTTGAGCTGCGTGAGTTGAATGTCGTTCCTTTTCCGCGGCCAACGGAAGCTCCAGTCTTACTTTCCGACTTGTTACGAAGACAGGGACAGAACACTATATGCGGCTTCATCGGGGGTAATCCAAACCTACCTGCGACATGCTTGGCAGGATCCCATTGCGTATTGGAACAGGATCATGGTGTGGTGGGCTGCTGTCCGGACGGCGGAACTTGCTCGACAGGTATATTTACCGGCTGTGTCGACCGGAACAGCGAGCTGCAAACAGAAATCAATCCTTACGTGTATACGTGCCAAGGGTCGGACGTGTGCTACAGGAATAACTTTGCTGGCGGGTATTTCCAGTTTGGTTGCGGAACCGCATCATCATTGGGTACTACTGTCGAAACATCCGTCCATGGCATGACAAGCTTGGTGCTCGAAGAGACAGCAGTGTTGCTGACGGCATTGCCGTCAGTCCTTCCCGACCCTACTTCCATCGGGACCCAGCCTTCGAGTGCGACGGAGGACCCTAACCCAGATCCTCCCCCTATTGGCTCTGATACAACATCACCAACGCCACAAACACCCTCAGTTACAACAGACCCTTCGTCTGTCTCTGGATCTTCGTCTCCGCTGTCACCACCATCCTCCGTATCCTCTTCGCCACAACCCTCATCTTCGCCTACGTCCTCTTCATCATCATCAAGATCATCATCTTCAACATCTTCGACCTCTACTTCATCTTTACTTACATCCTCGTCTTCATCCACAACATCACCTTCATCGACTACTGGCACGAATACCTGGCCGAGTATAACATCCTCATTTGGCGCCGAAGAACCCACCGATTCTAGTTCACCCACGGCGGCGGCCGGAGCCAGTGGGACCAATAGGGGGGCTATTATCGGGGGTTCCATCAGCGGAGCCGCCATTCTAATAGCGATAATTGTCGCCATAGTCCTCTTCTGCATACGAAAGCGGCGTGGCAACAACCGCGAAGGTCCTGGGCCTTTACCAACAAACGCGCCGCCCAGAACAGAATATATCAGGTGAGTCTCTAATGTATACTACATACTAAGATCCTAGGTTAGCTAACCCATAATGCAGTCCAAAAAGTCACGGCGCTGCATTTGCACCGCTCCCCTCGTGGCAAGATGAGGAGGAAGATAGGAGACCCCTAACTCAATACACCAACCAACCGTACCGCCCGCTCCCCGAGCCGCCGCTGCCGCAAGCGCAATCTGGCATGGCACCTGCAAGGACTGCCCCAACAAACCGTGGCTTCTCCCAGCCGTTGCGCTATCACCCGCCCACCGTGCGTCTAGTTCCTCCTATGGGCGTAGGAACAGGACTCACCCCCGTCGCGGAAGAAGAGAACCCGTACGACCAGGATAGCGCCAGCGAGTCTGACCGTAGTATCGGCCGAGGCCCGACGCCGTCCGAGATCGACGACTTCTCGCGCGCGTATATGAATGCGGGCATCGGCACCCAAGAGCTCGAGGAGGACCGGCAACTACTTACCGACGGTGGAGCTCTGCGCTACGGCGCCGAGTCCCCGGGCGGAAGCCATAGTCCCCCCAGGGGCAATGGTATGGGGAATAGGCCGCTGTGGCAGCAGAATCGGCAGCAGGGGAGGAATTTAATGTGGTTGTAATAGAGGTGATAATTATTAATCTGCTGCAGACGTGCATACGTATATAATGTCTTTTTTTCTCCTATTCGTTAAGAATCGGATAGTTACGCTTTGGTTTTTTTTGTCCACCTTACGACACGATACTACACTACACTACACCACATCACGGAATATAGGAGTTCTACATTTGGCTGGATAGGGGCAAGGGGCATGGCTCAGGTATCGTGACGAAACTACTACTTACGATCCTATACTGGCTGGGTGGGGTGTTGCGGCTTGCATGTTTGGGGCGTTTCGGGGGGGCAGACTTGACTTGCATACACGTCGCGGCTGTGGCGGCATCGGTTTAAAGGGGGAGATGGAGGGGATCGATCAGGTCGGTTGGTGGGTGGGTTGGCTGCTTGTTTTATGTACCTATACATACATGCCTAGTGTATATACCATACCATACGCGGATGGGCGGCGTTATTTGGGTTAGAAAGACTTTGGGTTTGGATCTGGAGTTGCCTCGATGTTATTATAATTAATGATGTTGAGGCCCACCGAAAAGAGGAAAAGAGGAACTTGGACATATCATCAAGTACGTACTTATATTATAATAGAAACGAAGAGAATACCTAAATCTTAGCTTTGATCTTATGTCTTACATCTTAATAAGACAGCGGCATTCTATTAAGAGGTACATAGGTTGGGGTTGATTGTATTATCTCATACATTGCATGTAAACTATGCACAATAAAAAATGTCAATATTGAATATTCATTAAACCAACCAACCTCCCTCACCCCATTAGAGCTCCTAGGATCTTTGGTACCCTAACGGGATCATCATGTAAGTAGGTTGGGCATACCTACCTAAGGTAGGTAGGTAGGTAGGTATGCACTCCTCACCAGATAAGAATAATAAACGCCTAAACTACAGTGAGTCAAAAAGAAACATACAGCATCAAAGGATCTCAAGCATAAAATGTAAGAAGCATAAATCAAATGGTATTAAAGCCTATCCGAACCGGTGATGCACACGCCCTGCCCGCCGTCTCCCTGCTTTCTTTCTTTTGAGACATCTCGCGTTCACCTCCGACCACCACCGCCGCCTAACATGCGCGCGAGCAGAGCGTGTAATAATAAAATAGAAGCAAGCAACCCCCCCTTTGTGCTTCCAAAACGACGAGCCGAACGCCAAAAAGTGCCCTGCCCCCCCTGTACTCTATAACGAGCTCAGGCCTCAGGACCTTTGTGTGTATATGTGTGTTGTATGTCGGTGTGATTGCGTATCATGTAGGCCCACCTCGTCATACGCGACAAGAAAAGGCAAAGAAAAACCACCAACGCCTCATAGCCCCTGATTTCGTGACTGTGATCATAGTTGTACAGACAAGGATTCCCGTTCTGAAATGTAGTCACAAAGGACCTCCCATTAGGGATATAATAATGCCAATGAAATATGCCAATAAGCTTGATAATGCTCAAGATACTTCGTATAATCATTGCCTTTTTAAACGACGACGTGAGTGCTCATATGCTCCACTGCCTCCTTGATACTTCGAAGCATGCGCTGGTTGACGCAGAAGGGACATCGGATAGGACGATCAGCACCACCCAGAGCGTTGCCGCTTGAGATAGGAGTCAAGGTTAAGGCAGGATCTTCAGGTCCGGCAGGGGTGAAGCGTGCACTATTTCGTTGTTGAGGTACGGGTGTTTGCAGGCTGGGCGCAATAGGAGGAAGACCCTGTTCTTGCCGCTCGCGCTGCTCACGAACGGCAGCAGCCTCTGCCTCGGCGTCCTCTTCTTCTTGCTGCATGGCACGTAGGGCGTTCTGGAGTACCACCTCAGGATCTTCGGTGCCTGCAAAGGCGTTGGGCTCGGCAGGGTTGATAGTTGCGCCGGCAAGGGTGGGGAGAGGGGCAGGACTGGGGTTCTCGAGGCGACGGACAACTTCGTCACGAACTTGGGCACAAGTAGAGAGGCTGGCTTCGACGCCGACGACGCGAAGAACCGCGTCGCGAATGGCAGCTGGGCTAGTCTCGGCACTAATATTCATGAACCGGGGAACGGCGTCAATGAGGTAGGGAATATCATCAGCAGGATTGGAGGCATTGCCATGGCGGCGTTGGCGGCGAATAAGTAGGCCGTAACGCTTCTTAAAGCGATGGATCCAGCCAGGGGAGAACTCGGGAGGAGTTTCGTCCTTGTAGCGGGGCAGTTGTTGGAAGATGGATTTTGCTTTCTCGGCAAGGTCCTCGTTAGAAGGGTTGCGACCGGAGGCGACAACTTGGCTATGCCATAAAAGAACAAGCTTCTCTACGTCAGGCCAATTGCCGAAACGCAGACGCGAACCGCTGAACTGATTATCATTGTCAAGACGCGCATACTTAGGCGATAAAGAGTGACTGATAGTACTCTGGCTAATGTTCTGACCGTACTGGCTGTAAAACCATTCAATGCAGGCTTTGTGGGAGGGTCGGGTAGTTTGGGAGTGTGCCCAACGACGAAGAGCGCGACGTTGATCAAGGGTAAGAGAATGTCGCTCCTTAGGCGTGGTCGCGCCGGTAGGAGTGTCCGGGACGTCGGGGACAGCGGGAACGTCCGACATATTGGATAGATCGGTAGTCAGCTTTTAGAAGGGTTGATGATGTGAATCCTCAATTGATTCAATGAAATTCGCCGGCTAATCCTGTAAACGAAGCACAACCCGGGTTTTGGATGTAAAGGGGGTTAATGAAAGAAGAAGAAATCGGGGCGCGAAGTTTTGTGGTTTGAGAGGTTTTTTTGTGCAAGCAACCGCAGCAGGTGTGAGGGGGGCAGGGGCCATCAGCGCTTTCTATCCAATTGATATGTGGGTCTGAAAAATTATAGGGCATAAAATTCCATGGTCTGTGCATACATTGCATTGAACGACTTTATGCTTAAAACTTCCAACGCTCAGAGCGCTATTTCCTATGCAATCACCGTCAAGGTACACCGAACGGACCCTCAGTTAGGACATGCGCCCTTAGTCACGTACCTGATAAACACTACAAACACTACTGTACATAAGGTGGGTAACTCGCTACACCGTTATCAAGAATGCTCACCTAACCGGACATTGGAATAGATAAACCTAGCACAAACATATTTACGGTTAAAATGATTTGACGATCCTCGATTTTGACATGTGCGAAAGGGCTATAAGGCATTTGCGAGGTAAGTAGCTAACAGCTAGCATATTTTGAATCAATGGAAGAATACTCCTCTATACGTACATATATTTTTATGTACATCAGTTGTATTAGGGAGAAGCTTATAGTACCTACTGCTCGCACTTCCGGGTAAGCAGCTCTGGAATCAGGGCCTAGAACCAGGTTACGAAGAAACATATGTATAGGTAACCATCACCAAGAGCAAGAAACAAATATCATTTAATGTTTATTTTTATTCGTTCTCTAGAGCTATCGTAGAAGTGTCTCGAGGCAGGAAGCAAACATTCACGTTACTTCATGTCCCTCCGCTACCTAAATTCCCGGCTGCCTCATTCATTTGCCCAAAGGGTTGCCTATAGTTTCCCCATGTCCTCAAGAGTAAATGTCCTACGACATGCCTTCCTCCCCAGGTTCTACTGGACACATTTTGGCCACCTGATAGCTCCGACCTATCGCCTATCGCCTATTCCATTATCCCATTTCATCATTTATCCATCTCCACGTCCAGTAGATAATACTCGGGGGAAGGGTTAATAAAAAGAAGTTCAGAAGTTGTAATATAGAAGAACGAGAAGCCCGAATAAAATTGTTCCCGTAAGAAAAAGCAACCGTGTCCACGCCAGACCGTAAGGTATACCATATAAAAAAATAGAAGAAAGGCTAACCTATAAATACCCTCTTCGACCCGGTCCGGTGCTGAAAGGAAAAGTTTTTGAATATTTTAGAAGAAAGAAGATCCATACGAATAAGAGGTTATGACATAGAAAACGGTATTAGACAGTCGCAGTAGAAGTAACTCATCTCGAACCATTCAGTCATTCAACTACCTTAAGCGAATGCGCGTACCACTAGACAACACTACTCTAACCACTATAACGTAGACTATTGCTACTTATTCCAAGAACACAGATAGCATTCGTGTACTGTAGGTTTGGGTAGGTATGTTAGGGTAGCACGGCTAAGGGTTGCCGGGGAGTTCAGGATACATCCTGCATCCAATTCGAAAGCTGCTGCTGAATTGTCGGGTGTAAATGCTAGTAGAACGAAGCGCATTGGGTATATTGTATATGGAAATATTCTGGGGGTATCGACCGATCCTTAAAAGCCTTATACCTGCTCAACAAAAACAACTAGCTTTTCGTTATGCTCTAGAGCATAGTTAAGATCGTTGTTGCTCAGGAGGCTGAGCTTGTCACCACTCTGCTCGTCTCGGTAGAAGAGCTGGATTTGATCTCCACTAGAAACCTTGGTTCGCTCTCTAATCCTCTCGTATAATTGTTGGAAGTTGGTATCAGATGGTACACGTATTAAGAACGTGTCGTCGTTGAAATGTAATTTGACCTTAAGAGATGGCCCTCCCTGGCTGATCCCTGGTGATAACGAGGTTTGTGAGGGTTGGGAAAGCGATGACGTTTGTCGAGTCATCTGCGGCTGACCATTTTGCATCTGTCTTGGAGCCGCCGATAATCCAGAGTATCCATTTCCATTCAGATTGTTCCTTGACGACTGCCGCGAGTTATCATCTCTTGGTGAGTCTACTGACGAGCGGGACCCCCCAGATAGTCTATACTCATCGCCGTTCGGCTCAATCTCGTAATCTCCCTCTCTCGGAGCAAAGAACTGTTTTACCAGGTTGCACCTCGAGATATATGGCGGCTGTCCTAGTAAGTTCTTTACGTATGCATCTAGATTGTGTAGTCGTCCTTCCGTAATTGCGTCGGTCACGTAATTAACAGGGCCGGGCATGTACGGCAATGTGCGCTTGTGTGTGCCGGTATTTCCAGCTTCGGCAGGGAACTCGGTCAGAAGGGCGATTTGGAAATCGTAAAAGTCTTCATAATAACGCGAAAGCTCCCAGTGCCGGCCATCTTCTAAGGTTGCCTCGATCACAAACCAATACTTGTCCTCGGCAAAGCAGTATCGCGGTATCCGGGCTGATAAAGGCGCGTATAATTGTGAGGATGATTTTGAGGCGTACTGATTCTGTTGCACGGCATTTTGGGATTGCTGTTGAGCTTGCTGCTGATACCCGCTAAACTGCTGTTGCTGCCAAGCTATGTCAGTACATCCTGATGCGCACGTGCAGTAATCAATGGTTACTTACGAGTGAAGGGTTCTGCTGTTGGCTCTGGCGGTTGGAACCCGGCTGCAGGCTCATCCGTTCCATGCCCTGTTCCAGACTCGGTTGACCACCAGCTTCAAATTTGCCTAGCGTGATGCTGCTATTCTTGTAATCGGCAGCCATCTTCTTCCACTCTTCGACCTTAGGAACACCGGCTCGTTTCACAGCCTCGTGGGGATTCTGAACGGCCGTATCCGTTGACATATCTCGAATTTCTACGAACGAAACAGGGATGAGGCCGGGGCCTCCTAGGCGACCGATCGGTTTGGCGACAAACCACTCGGGGTTAGATTGCGCGATCACTATGATTGCTTCGCCAGCTTTCGCTTCTAGTTCGTCCGCCCTCTCTGCCTGAAAGTCGTACATCACAATTCCATAAACCATAGCTCCGTTTTTAGTGCCCGACTTGGAACTACGTTGACTCAACGCCGGTGTAGGAGGTATAGTCGACGCATTGGTCTCGGAAAATCCGGAATCGTGGTCGTCCTTCTTGAAGGTCAAAGGGCGACCCGGGTCTGATGACCCACTATCTCTTTCGGTACGCCCAAGGGCTTGGAAGAAAGCTACCGGAACGAGACCTCGAGCGTCAGGAAGCGCCGGGTTACATGCCTCATACCAATCCGAGTCGTTTTCGCGACCGATAACGTGAAAGAAATCACCCCTCGAGAAGCTCAGTTCCTGGGCAGTAGTTGCCTCATAATCATAAAGGGCTCGAATGACCTATGGATGTTTCGGGCATTAGCATCGTGTCCAATGTGACAAAAGTGGGCCAAGAAATAAACGAGAATTGAAAAGAAAACAACATGCACAGGAGCGAATATCGCCAACCTTTTTAGGGGGAACAATAGCAACTGCAGCCTTTGGGGCGATGGAGACCTGAGGCCTATCCTTTTCGCCTTTGATGGATCTTCTCAGAGCCTGAATAGAGCGCATAACGTTAGCCACGGCATTTACGGATGCGACCAAATCGCTATGCAGATTGGAACGCGACATGATTGCGACCGATGGCCAGGCACGTTTAAAGGCATGTTTTAGCAGAAGGGAAAGGTAATCATGCGACGAAATCAAGACAAACAGAGGAGGGGTTCTTAGGTTTAATGGCGCACCTTCATCGTTGTACAGATTCGGAAGCTTGTGGATTGCGAAGTCAAGCAGAAGGAGGCGGAGGCGGCGAGGGAGGATCCAAGAAGGAATGGGCGCAGGCCAGAAATGGCAAACTGGGCTATCCCCGAGGTTCAGGTACGGTTACGCGAACGCAGCAGAGTCTCGCGGTCCTGTTCGACAGCGGGTCTGAATCAGTGCGACAACGTGTAATCGCAATGAAGCGAGGAAAGTCGCGGGAGTTCAGCCGGTGGGATCGAGTAGTTGAGGTGCGTCAAGGTGAGACCTTTCGCAACGCAATGGAGAGGGAAAATAAACCAAATCCTCGAAAGTTTGGTAGGTAGGTAAGGTTCTCTTATTTTTTTTTTTACTTTTTCCTGAGCTTGTCTACTGGTCGGCCAGTCGATATCGAACAAATAAGCAGCGAAAAGAGAAACGATTGCGATTATTTCCTTATCCTGAGCCGATAACTAGTGGTAAATAGCACTGCCTACCCTGCGATGGCCTTTTCGCTATTTCTTTCTTTCACGGATTCGCCGTTTCTTTATCTCCTTCTCAACGGTCACAATAGTGGGTCGAATATTAATTGTTTTGCTGGTTAATATGCGTGGCAGACATGCACGTTATAGACTTGGCTCTGGCGTTAATGCTAGTATCGTGTTTTCTGTTATCGTCGGTCCAGTCGTCGCCTTATCGCCCTGATAGTGGAATGTAAGAAGATGTCGACAGGCTATCTTTCAGAGATTGAGTGAGGTCAGGAGGACAGAAGATGAGGAGGAGAGGAACAAGACTGGCTAGATTTGAGAATGACTGACTGCTTTGCGCTTAACTGGGATGGGGTGGGCTTGAGTGACTGGCTGGGAGAACAAGGTGGAAACGTCGAAAAAGTGGGATAAATTAAGTCGGACGTTAGCAGATTGGGTAGGCTGAGTTGTGGGTTGCTTGTAGGTGTGTGCGCCATGGGTTATAAGTGGCCCTTGACGGACATGCCTGCCCTTCAATGCATTTTGGACGGGCGGATAGCCTGCATGCCATTCACGTCCATCCATGCCCACAAGCAGGAGCACAGGCAATGGTACGTACCTGGGCTACCATGGCCTAAACGGGACAAGGGAGAATTCAATGTTCGAAAGAACTTTCACGCATGGGTGGGCGGTGGGCGGTGGGGTGCTTTCAAAAAGATCCGATTAAATGGGCTAGGGCGACCTAGACTGTCCGGTACATAGTGTAACTGCTAGGTTAGGAGGTAGTTAGAAAACAACGTACCTTAGCGCGTGCTAGCCCTGTAATTCAGGTACCTACGGCAAAGTAAGATGGAGAATCAGTCATATTATCGTATAAATAGCTATATCAAGGTAGAATATTACCAGATACGAAATGGATATATCAAATTGATTGTTACCGAGCATTTAGTGTTAGTAATGATGTATAATAGATATAGAATATTATAACTAGAGAAGAGATGAAAAGTGACAAGGTCTAACATAATAAAATAGAAGTCTTTAAATTAAAAAGTCCGCTACTCAACCGCAACCGCAACCGATTATCGTATAGCAAACTATTCCAATAAGTGTATGTAATTATTCAAATCCTTCAGGTTTAGTTATGTATATACTAGAGCTTGCTTTCAAGGTTGTTTGCCCCTCTACATATGTACTTCCGTTTAGCCCCTCACCCCGCCATGGCCACTTGTGGTTACATAGTACATCCCCCTCTAATAAGAAAATAAAATAAAAAGGGAGGCCCCAAACAATCTAACAATCCATTCTACTTGATCAACTGACGACATATGGAGATCGCATAAATCATTCCGAAAACTGTACACTTTGTCGAACAAGATCCACGTCCTAAATTAGTCTATGTTCTAGATCATAATTTTTTCTTACATACCAGTTTGCTTCTTGCTAGTTAACCTATCCAATTTCTACTTTCGTTACCTACCTACCTAAGGTTAGTCACCAGAAAAGCGTAACTCCGATAGGCTTTCATTATATCGTGGCTTCGTGGAGCAGTCTTTAACCGGTTGGGCATTGGGCATTGTTTAGGCTCGGAATGCCAGGGCACCCCAGGGCACCCTAGAGCAGCATCCGCTCTATGTACCGCTCTACCGCTCTTCTACTATTACTATCCACTATCACTATCACAATATGAATAATTACCTCGAGGTATTCCTTTTTTTTTTTTAAAAAAAAAAAAAAAAATCCGCCAGTCGGAGTCAAACATGTAGAAACGAAGCCACCTCTCTCCAATACCGGTATCTAGTCGGGAACCTCTCTTCAAACTCGGTCCTTCAACCCAAAACACGACGTCGCAATCCGGGACGTCGTGCTGCACGTTCAGTAAACGGAACCTATGGATTAGCTTCGATGTCCGAGCTTCAGGAACCTCCCCTGCGCGTGCTCCACGGCCGGAGAGATTTTTTTATACCAACTTCGACATCGTACCTTGCAGCGTGCATGGCCACTTACGTACATGTAGTACATATGCGTCCTGATGGCGGAAATCATCATTGAGGTCCCAAATTCGGAATACTCGGGTCATATTGGATTATCCTTCCTTGAAATGGGTATAGAAATAACAGTAGGCGTTATTGTCGGTATCGCCAACTTCCTTACAAATAACAGGATTCTCGGCAATGCTTTTTATGCAACCCAATAAACGCGAGACAGAAGCAGATGCGACTATAAAATATGCAAGGCCCCTGAAACAGCACATGAACTTACTACATGCACTCTCCCACTCTCCCACTCACTGTTCCTGCATACAATTTTACGATTTATAACAGCCACTTAGATGCAATGCTAAATTACAAATTCGCCGTATTATTGGTTGGTGAAACAGAACTAATGATTCGCTAGATTCGACAGATCTTCTCGGTACATAGACACACACACACACCCCCCTCCTAAAACAGGCGTCATTGTCAATTCCGTAGGAGGCCTAATTTTATTATCTTCTTTGAGGTTTCATACATATTGAGACTATACCTTGAGGCTTTTTAGGGATGAATACTAGCCACAATACGGAATAATCTAGTCGTTATTAAACGGCGTACCTGGCCAACAGGTAGGTACATATAAGTATGCCAATATCCTTAGTTTAGCTAACTGACTACCTACCTTACCCAGCGCTCTAATTCACATGTATTATACTAATGCATGAAAATAGCCCTTGTCCGGACTAGCTCCGGGAAACCCGGGACCCTCCGGAACACTTCCAGAATGCCCAAGTTAGGTCAACAGCTACCTACACCAACACGTACTAGGAAGGTAGTTCATTGCATAGCACGGATATATCCTACCTTGAACAACTCTAGCTGCATAAAGACACGTGAATAGAGACACGTGAAAAATAAGGCTCCTAGACGCGGAAGAGAATAGCTCGGAAAGGTCGGAAAGGTGGAGGAACATATATGCCTTAACCCGTACCTAAATATTTTTTTTTCATGCGATATGCGGAAGCACGGATCATCTCACCCCGACGGCGATTCCCCGACATCGTGAAACTGGACCAAGCGCTGAAACAAAGCGACGGCGTTGAAAAAAGACGGCCCGTCTTTGAAATAATTTACGTGAGGGATGGATAGGTATGTACGTCATTTGTTCCCCATCCTATCTAGGGATGATGAGATGGCTTGCTGCACGTCTGTGCTCCCATTCCAGCCAGGTAAACTACCTAGGTATCCTCGAGATCAACATCTCGAATCTTAGTCGTCTTGCATGTGATGTAGATTATCAGGCCACGCGATAGATATTACAGATCTCTACCCCAGGGTAACTCATGCAAAGAGGTCCATCTACATAGCCGTAGGCCAAAGCTACGATCTGTCAAACCCCCGGATTTTCCCTTACTCCTCAGCTCACAGACCTCGATTCCATCCAAGCAGACATCAAGATAGAATATCAAAAACTTGAAATTCGACAACTCGCATCCATGAGACTCGCTCGCTCTCCCTTCCCTTTCTCCAGCCCCCGCACACCTAAAAGCTCGAGTCCTCACCCAGCCCAGACCTCCGCGAGGTGGCCAACCAGCCCCCCCTTAGTATTCGCACAGGCGGAAAGAAGCACAACTCAAGGCGCACGAGACATCGTACTCGGACCAACTAGCTTCCCGTGTGCGTGTGGCAGGTCGAGCCGCGCAAAAAGAAAAAGGGAAAAAACTTAGCTTGCGCACAAACGTACGTAGGGCACTCTCGCCTGTGCGCCTTCCCGTCGCGCTTGTGCCGCCATTTGCCAGGGTACGGGAGCACCCGCGGGTTCGAACCGGTGCCTTTCGTTGGTCCCGTATCGGACCCTCTAGCTCAGGCCGTGCGATCGTCTCTCTCGCGCTTGCGTCTGTGTAATGCGACGTTCGCTCCTCACATGTACTTACCTCTCTCTCTTTTCCTCTCCCCCTCCCCCCCCTCTCCTTACCTCTCCTTACCTCTCCACCAATCTATTAACTACTACCACCTACATCCAAAGGGTCAGGTCAAGATAAGTTCACACCGGCAGGCAGCACACAAGAAAGAAGAAGAAGAAAAAACCAGCTCGAGTTGCGTGGGATATGGTCATACGACAACTGCATGTCTTAGGTTTGTAAAGCCTCCGTCAGCTCCTCCCAGGTGTAAAAGCCGCCACCGGTTCTGGGAGAAGCCTTGAAGAGCGGACGAGAGGTAATGAATGGGCTGATTATAAGGCGGTGCAAGAATACACTATCTTACTCACTTGATAATACTTAGTTTTTGTTAACATGGATCTATATTTATCGAATACAATGTACCTATAAAAATACTATTACGAAATTCCCTTTTAATGGTGTGGTGGCATGCTCGACAATATTCTTAAGTAGGTAGTATAGATAGGTGGCTAAGTTACTGGAAGAGAAGTTTTATATGTCATATGCTCTGATCTTCATTATACGTGAGCTTCGGCAATTTATGTTTATCGTTATATCCTTGTGAGAAATAACATATCAAACGGTCCGAGCTTAATGAATCTCTTTTTACATTAACCTCCTCAGCTAGCAAAATCAAGATATCAACTGTAAAGAATGTCCAATGCCTAAGAGTATCAAAGAGTACGACTTTAGGTTGAAGTTACGATGTCCTGGTCTGGTACATAGTATAATGCATATAGTTGACTTGATGAATTGGCAAGCCAACACTTCACTGCGAGATAGATATATCGAAACTCAATTATATTATGGACAGCATAGAAATGCTTTCCGTAGGCTAATTTTACGGATATTTTATCTATGGCTGAACCGGGTTCCAGCCGTCGATCCATTTTGCTATAATTTTCCATGCAATCCCAGCCTTACGGAAGCTGACGAGTGACTAATGCACACGACCAGTCTCTATCGTGTGAGGGTATCGGTAAAGTAACTAGGCCACTCGGTCCAGCAACGCCAAACTCCTTAAATGCTCAGAGCAGAACCAAAACGCGCCTCACCGATGATGACCGGAGTCCGCGAGGACCTTTGTGCCGTAAACCTCGTCTCCATGACCAACGCCAACATCGAAAAACTCTAACCGCCCCTTATCAAACGTCCCACCAGGCACCTATGCCAAACCGGACCACAACTGTGTTTACTGTGATTGAAAGTCAATGTAAGAATTTTCGTGGGCGAACGCGTTGCGCCTCATGAGATCGATCGGACGGAATGTTCGATAAGCCGCGTCACAGATTCATACTCGGGGGGAAACCAAGTTCGATATCCAGAGCCGCTTATCTTGAACGACATGTCTCGTCAAATCAACGAAAGCTGCTTGTCGGAAATGTGCAAAGGGATGTCTACGAAGGAGTAATGTGTAGTGATGCGATGCAGTCAGACCAGATGTGAAGAGCGTCGTGTCGGAGGGAGAAAAAACAAAAGATATAAAGAGAATTTGGCAGACGAATCAAATCTGGCCCTTAAGGTCGACTCTACGGAACGCCTCAGTTCTGGCTGTCTCGAATAGCATCCCAGCCTTTCCGGTTAGAAAGGCAATGTAGTCTTGCCGTTCTTGAAGCAGATCTTGGCCGTTGCAGTCGATAATGAACTGTGCAGCTTCAGCATCAGACTCGAAGGCTAATTCCTCAGTGATATAACGAAGCTTCAGATCTGGTTTAAATCTGTCCCCAGGTTAGTATTCAAACTTCTTCTATAGATAAGGGTAATACTCACGCCTTGCACATGTTTGCAAGTGCAGCAAGTCGTTCACGTTTGACAAACATATCCATGAGATATGCTCCCATATTAGGGACGTCAAGATATAGCTGGAAAAATCTATGGTAGTTGCCTAAAGCGAGGGCTGAACGTACGTCCAGAGCATGCTTGATCGGTCGCTCTTCTTTCTCTGCTGTAGTTAGATCTGCGATGGCGTCATTCAACGCCGACCGGTTTGCGGTATGGATGAAATACAAAATACGATACGCCTTGAATTCGATAGAATTGCCCTTCAGACCCGACTTATAAAGAGCACGTAGCTGAGTCTGGCACTGATTATACTCACCGAGATCCCCCTTCTCCAAGGCAATTCTGGCATGAATTTCATAAACAGAAACAGTGAAGTCATTCCTAATGCGTTGTACTGTCAGATCCTGGCGTAGCGATTTAAACTGATCACAAATGTAGTTATAGTTGCCGTCTTTCCGCCACTTCTTCTTAAGTAAGTCTAGCGTCTGATGCAATATACGTTCAGGTCGGACATCGGCTGCTTTCGGTGCAGCAGTTAAGCGCAGATATCTCTTCTCCAAGGATTCGTTTAGTCCGACGATAGGTCCGGTAGGGGGCGGCGGGCTAGGAGATCGGTAGGTAGACTGGTATCCACCATCACCGCGACGCTGTCGCTTCTCGACATTCTTCTGGAACTTACTTTTGGCCGGTAACGGACTTTCCATCGACGGTTTGGTAATTCGATCTTCGAGAGAAAGGGCTCTGGTGCTACGCCACGGTACTGAAGCGGTGTTGGTCTGTTCGGGTCCGCTGAGATCCGTAGACTTCCTCTTCTTTGGGTTAATAGGAGCGATAACAGAGCTAGGAGTTGTCTCTGACACCACGGGTGGTGTCATAGACTGCATCAACGCTTGTTGGCGTTCATTCTTGATTAATGTTTGCGGCAAAGGCATGTTGTCCCAATCCGTAGTGTACATAGTTCCACAATCCTGAGTGTACCTGATAGTATCCTTCAACTTGGCTTCCATCTCGGCACGGGTTACGCTGGGATCTAGATTTGATGACTGGAAGGACCTTTGCACATAGCTGCGTACTGAATCTGGCCAGTCAAACTTCTGCTGCTGGGTTTGCTGATTCGATGAAGCAGCCATAGTGGTTGTTGATTGAGGATTAGCAGGAGCGGAATATTTATACTGAGATGGAGCTTGGTATGCTTGACCAAAGCCTTGACGAACTGGAACGGTAGTATATGCGGCATCTATCAAAGAGGTCAGTATTAGTATCAGGCTTATTTAGAAGAATCTTCAGATAAGGGAAAGGGTACATACTGAGAGTAGTAGGATAGGCGTAAGGCGTTACTTGGACGCCAGGCGGAGGAGGTGCTGCCCAAGACATTGTAGTCAAGATAATTTAGTACGTAGGTAAATTACTGAGAAGGATTTGGCAGAAACAAAAAGGTTAGTAGCAAACCCTCAAAAGAACTCCGCAAAGAGAAGAATATGGAGAGGTAAGTTAGTGTTCTCGCGGTATAAACTCGATGGAGTAGATGGACAAGGACATTTGCAAACGCAACGAGGCGAGATGTAATATGTTCGGTGATAACAAAGAATAGATGTGCGTTGTGAATGTGTGTGAATAGGGAGGAGTTGGAAATAAGTGCGGAAGCAACGGTAGTTAGGTTAATTTGGGCGGTCAGGGTCAGATAAAGTGCAGTGGCCCGAGCGCATAGTTTACGTAGTAAGTACCTAACCTAACCTAATCTAATCTGTACAGGGCGTACCTTAGGTAAGCAATTTGCTGTGTTGGCTTTCCCTGTATGGTGCCGGAGTATCATCGGAATGAATACGTAAGCAATATATGGGTCTTGGTTGCACGGGCCATGCTCTTTCAGATGTCAATGGAACGTAGATCCGTATTTCGTAATCGTAATCAAAGCTACATGTATCAAGGTACCTTCCTTATTGTCGGTGATCTCAGCTTGCGTCAGTTCAACTCTTTCAGACATCTTCTTATCAAGTTCACAAACAAGTATTCCCTGCTTGTTGTCCTCCCAGGTTTCAGTCTCTGGCTCATGTCAACCGATATGACGAATGTTTTTAAAACAAATCGACCTTACCACTGCCCTCAGGCCTTCCTATCTTCCAGACGAAGTGCTCCTCTTTGTCCAGGACAACGTGGGGCTCTATGAGGGGTGAGTCTGCTTGGTCTGCTAGTTATCCAATATCGATTGCAACGCCAATGTCTATGCAATGTCTATGCAATATCTATGGCTCTTCAGTAACTAATCAACGCTGCCCTATTCATCTTTATAGGAAATACAAATTACCGAACCAACAGAATGGTCAAGTCTATTTGACCTCGCATCGAATATGCTACGTGGACAAACAAGAACCCAGAAAGTACTCTGTTGCTTTGGACTTAAAAGATGTAGAGAGATATGAATTCTATGTAGGAATTAGGTGATACCTTCACGAAAGGGAATCCTTTTGCTAAGAGCTTTCTTTACAGGCAGGATTTTTAAAATCTTCTCCGAAAGTAACCCTTTTCCCTAAGCCAGCCAAACGAGGTTCTCTCCAGTCTAGAGCGGCCGTGGCCACATCGACCGCCTCTCGTAGTAGTGGCGCTTCACCTCTACCAACTTCCGAGCCTGCATTTCGCTCCCCCTCTACTGGTACACCACAGGCCAGTTCAGCAACATGGATTTGTACGATATGTAGCTTTCCGAATCCGGTTCCGTCTAATTTCGACCCGACAACGGCGAATGCTCATACGCCGTTACCATCATGTCTGGCGTGTGGTATCAAACCAGCATTAACGCACATGCTTAAAGCTGCTATATCGAGTGTTACTAGTAGACAAGTGACTTCTTCGGGCTCCACTTCACAGTCGCCATTTACACTGCCTTCTCGACCGCAAAGTCTGGGTCTAACCAACGATCAATCTCGGGGTCTAGAAGCAAATATTTTATCACGGGACACTACAGCTGGCTCGACGAGCTCGGACGGGTTTGAATGTCCCCGCTGCACCTTTTTGAACCATCCCTCTCTCTTAACTTGTGAGATATGCGGGGCGCCCCTCATTTCCCACGATGTTCCTATGGCAGTGGCGCACAGCCAACCTAGGACAGACTCGCCAGGGCCTACGCTTAATTTATCTAGTGCTACCGGCTTAGAGAATCCAGAGAGTGTCAAGGTGTCTTTCCGAAATGGAGGGGAGAAGATATTCTACGAGCGGCTTAAGAGTTCTATGACACAGCGTAAATGGCTCCTACAAGAAGCGCCCCCTATTCCAAACGGGGGTTCTATCGATACCCGCGCGGACTCGTCGACATCAAGGCCCGGTGCTAGCCGAACCAAAACTGCCGGTATCGCCGGGCTAGAGAAGATGGGACTGGATAGGCGGAAGAACAATGAACTGGTCATTGGGAGCGCCTTTGAGGATCTCGAAGCTTTGATGGCCTCTGCCAAGGAAATCGTAGCGCTTGCGGAATCATTTGCCCGGCAGGTCAACGGTGGCGCCGAAAATGCGACATCCGAAGCAAACGCATTACTTGCCGAGTCAGCTAGTCAGTTAGGCCTCGTGACCACCAAAGACATCGTAGGTGGCGGAAGTAGCTCAGGATCGGAGTCGCTTTACTTGTCCGAATTATCTCGGAACCTTGCAGAGTTCTTAGCGGACGATGCCAGAGGAGTACTTAGGAAAGCCGGTGGCATTATTAGTCTGGTTGACCTATGGGCTATGTTCAATCGCGCTCGTGGAGGTGTTGAACTTGTCAGTCCTAATGACTTTGAAAAGGCGGCCCGTTTGTGGGGTAAATTGAGACTACCAGTCCGGCTACGTACGTTCAAGAGCGGCGTGATGGTGGTTCAGAGCCGCGACCGTACGGACGATACGACAATTAAGGCACTACTAACATGGCTCCGGGACTTGCATGACATACCACCAGATAGAGATGTCGCTTGGGATTGGCAGGAGTTTGGTCGTGGCGTTACTGCGCAGGACACTGCTGAGCGATTCGGATGGAGTATTGGTGTCGCCGAAGAGGAGCTCGAAATGGCCGAAGAAAGGGGTGTTCTCTGCCGCGAGGAAGGTATTGAAGGGCTTAAGTTCTGGGAGAACTACATCGATACTGGAGAATACCGCAACAAGCCAAGAAAGACCCAAGACGCAGAAGAGAAAATCCTGGAAGCCCTTAGTGCGGCTGGCCTTTTATAAAATCTAGGATATATGAGATTTACAAGTAGAGCATGTCTTGCGTTGACTTATATTATATACCACGTTGATTCCACAATTACCGTCATTGAGACCTTCTAATACATGAAAACATAATATCGCTATTAACCGCCGGTCCAAAAAAAAAAAAACTCGCCTTAAGGTTGCTCGTCCAAACCTGCCGTCTAGTATAAATCGGGGGTTTTTTTTTTAAAAAAAAAATATCCGCCATAAAACCTACAATCCGTAACACCGTGCCATAACACACTTCTCGCAAAACGCGCAACCGCCATGAAGCCGTCTGCTTGTTTCAAGCAAGCCTCTCCATAAGATTTCTTCGTACCTTTGTGTTCACCGTCCCTCCTAGCCCAAACGCAGGGACAATCCTGCATATCCTCGCCACAGCACTTATCGCCCAGTTCTTCCGAACCTGCATCCATCGGTCGCGCCAGGACACGAGGCCCCCCGTCCCCGGCCGGTTGTACATGTCGAGGCCGAGCAGATGCACGGGCGTCGAGAATAGCTGGACAGCGGCGGGGGCGGCGAATTGGGCGATGGTGGTTCCGCTGACTTTCTTCTGCAATTTGGTGCCCATGCGCTCGTTTAGTACGGGCCCGAGAAGCGGCGGCACGTTAAAAGAAGCGAAGATTGTAAGGCAGTCGCGCAGCGTGAATAGCACGTAGCTCGGCACCGGCACGGGGCGCGGCGGTCCACCGGGCCCGAACATCTTGACGAACACCTGGTCCTTGTAAACGCAGAGCCCGACGTTGGCGGCGCTCGACGCGGCGAACTTGGCCGTCCCGGTCGTGACGTGCATAGCGGGCTTATCCAGCGCCGTCGAGGTCACGGTGTCGAGCGTGTTCGCAGTCCAGTATGTGCCGCCGTACAGCATGAATATCAAAGCGACGGGCTTCGAGAAAAGCACGGCGTGCGGGCGGACAAGAAGCGTCCGGAAAGAGGCCCGCAGGCTGTTGGCGAGGGTGTTCCGCCCCGATGCGTTTTCCATTATGGATCTAGAGCGAGGACGTGGTCAGCGCATATGGGAGCCGGATGGGAAACATGTAATAACGTTCCTATCAATGATGGATATAAGCGGCGCGACCATCGACGCAGCACAGGCGGCGCTCGTCAGGTCGGCGCCTAGTCTTAAGCCTATGTTCTTCGTGTTCCATCGTTGCTGTAGCCCAGACGACGGCGTGTCCTTGCGCGGGAGCGGGATTGGCGATGCCGAATTGACCAGCGGCTTTTCCGCGCCGACGTCGTTTTTCATCGTGGGTTTGGGCGTTTACTTTTACTTTATATACTAGACGGCTGGATACACGTACTTGCGTAGGTACTCCCTCGCAACTCGAAATCAAATCACGAAGATTAGGGACTTCGGGGCGAGGGGCAAGGAGCAAGAAGCAAGAAGCAAGAAGCAGGAGGAATTAAGTTGCTTGATACATCAGGTCTAATTAAATGTGAGAGAGTCTAGGTCTAGGTAATAAGAGATGAGGGAATTCTAGTCCTCCAGGTTACACCAAGCCTCTCTGGCTCTTTCTTCTCCTATATAATGAAAAGTGATATGTAAAAAAGAGGTAATAGGCGGCGTCGGTGTACGGCAACTCAGCTTCTTAGTTCATGCATCTACCCATTGGCAATCGTCATTTTTATAAGCTTGCACCGAATTCGGAGATAGTTATCTAGGGACGCTGATTGGCTTACCTAAACCCTGATTTAAGCTTTCTTTTTCTGGGGAGATCTTGACCACAGTGGGAGGCACTTTGGTACTGTAACGTAACGGTGTACAAGTAAGTACCTCGTATCTTGACCCGCAGGTACTCCTCAGCCAACTTTTACTGGAGAGTACGTGGCAATAGATGAGTTCTCTTTTTCAACAGATGTAAGCATTGAAGAGATTGGGCGGTGAGTATAGAGGGCGCTACCAATTATTATTTTTTGGACTTGTATAATAATTGCTGTGACTTTATCAGATTCTTTGTGTGATTGTTACAGTTTACTTAAGGCCAATCACTTTTGCGATGCTAATATTCCAACCTGTATTTGGTTACTACCTACATATATTAAATATGGAAAACCCAAACACGTAACTTGCCTTGCTTATGCCATACAAGACATCGTGATTTAAACTTTTAGACACGTGTAGAATATGTTGTCCGTATTGTTATAAATAAGGGGTTTAAGTACAAGTAAATAAGTCAGGTTCTAATAACTAATGCTATTATTCACCTGTTTATCCTCTCATCTGCAGTTAAGCATTTGGTGAATGTTATTTATAGACCAAGTCAGGTTTGATCTGGGAACCAGTCCAGAAGAGCTTGGTTTACCTGTTGAATCTTGGGTAGAATGTAAACTACGTGACTGTATCTACAATGCATTCACGGTCGAAACGATGGGCTACAATGCTCCTCATAAATTATATATAAACAAAATAGGATTTCCATCTTCCTCTTTTCTTTCTAGACACTCTATCATCAATCTGTCTACCAATACCGGCACTTGATACTCACCTATCAATAGCGGGCAATACGGATCCCCAACCTACCAGCAAGCTATTAACACCCGAAATACTGCTCGAGGAACCTACACGCGGGAGAGCTCTACCTAACCATGACGGAACGCAGGTTCTCTGTTACGAGCGTAAAGCCAAGATTGGCGGTGGAGAATCTGGATACTAGAAAACTATGGATATCGCATCCGGAGAATCGCAAACCCTCCTCGCAAATGAGCCTGTCTATGAAGCAACTTGGTTAGCAGACAAGCCCAATACGATAATAACCCTGAGAAAAGTCGTGAGTAAGGAGAATCAGACCCATGTTGCAACGTACGATATCAAAAGCATGACAGCGACAAGGATAATCGCCCGTTTCTTCGCGCGACTGCGCTCCCTCAGAGTGGCGCGTCTCAAGAACGGAGATATTGCGTTCGCGGTAGATGGCCCCGTAGGGGTAAGTAATGAGCTGCGTAACGAGGCAAATTATACGCAGCAAAAACATACCGGGCGAGTATATGACACTGACGAAGTGCGAGAGTTACGAGACCCTTCCCTTATGGCAGCCCCGTTGTTAAGATTGGATTGGTGGAGAGTAACTAACAACACGCGATTATTAGATAGACCGTTACGTAGATCTTGGAAAACATTCAATCTTCTACTCGGTTTTAAAGAACGCTAGGGAGGGATGGGAGTTAGCTGGACCCCTACATAACGCTCTTGTCAACACAGACCTCATGCCAAGAAACTTATACGATCTATTTCACGGCGGAATCGTATTCATAGCCGAGGATATTGGTGTGGAACATCTGCCATCACGAGTCTGGCACACCTACCTCCTTCGACTAGATTCCTTTAATAGAGCTAGCACTCACGGGCCTAGGAAAATAGAACTACCGGATGAAAGCCCGGATGAGAGCCGTGATTATAGTCCATGCCCCCTTTTCAGCTCCGATGGGTCTCAGGTCGTGTTCTTGAGGGCGTAACATCCATGTCTACCGACTTGGCGAACGCAAAACCGTTAAGGTGCTTGATACGTTAACGGATGGGAAATGGCCATTAACGCCAGAGGCGGCTCAGTTCGCTCCAAGTGGTAAAGCCCTATATGTCACCGCTGAAGACCATGGGAGACAAAATCTTTATAAGATTGACTTACAGCCAAATGCAAAACCAAAGCTGCTTTTCCACGGCGGTGATGTGCAATTCTTCTACCCTCTCGGCAAAGACGACGAACAGATCCTTGTAACCAGCTCAAGTCTAGTGAGCAGTTCGCTCTACAGCATCATCTATACTGACGAAATCCGCGAGCCTAGAGTGCTTTCGTCGCTCACGAACCATGGCGACCAACCTGGTATTTCCTCGAGTCAAATTTCAGAGGTACACTTCAAAGGTGCTGGTGATTACCAAGTACACGCATGGATGGTGAAGCCTAGCTACTTTGACGAAAGCCGAAAATACCCCTTGGCTCTTTTTGTACACGGAGGACCCGAGAGTTCTTGGAAAGACTCTTGGAGCCTCAGCGTATGTCATCCTTTCATATTATTGTTAATATTATAAGATAACCGACTTACATGTGCTTACAGAATAATTTCGCACTTTTTGCTGAACAAGGCTACATTGTTGTAGCTCCAAATATCACTGGCAGCACAGGATTTGGTCTGGAATTCGAAAAAGGTATGCAATTAAGGACATCTTGCAACATCAAAAGCTCACATGGAAGATAGCAATACGAGACAACCAGGGTGGTTGTCCATATGATGATCTGGTTAAATGCACGGATTACCTGGAGCATAACCCGAATATCGATATTAATAAAGCCGTCATGATAGGCGCTAGCTATGGAGGATACATGGTAAACTGGGCCCAGGGCCATCAACTTGGCTGACGTGTGAGTATTTCCCTACAATTATAACACATATCTACCATATCAGCTACTAAGTTATCTTTTCGGATTAGTTCAAAGCCATGGTCTCCGACCGTGGCGTCTTCAACCTGCCAACGTACTTTATGGAACGGGACAACTTCTTAAGCTTCGACAGCACAGATCGATTCAGCGGTTCGGAAATCCTATGGAAGAACCCCGAAGGTCTAGAGCGGTTTAACCCAGCACGCCCGGATCTCCTCCCTAACTGGAAAATTCCCATGCTCGTCGTCCACGGCAACGATGATTTTCGTTGTCCAGTTACTGGGGCCATAGCTGCATTCCGTACGCTACAGCTAATGGGAACACCATCTAGACTTCTTATATTCCTTCATGAAAGCCACTACGAATATAAGCCCCAGAAGAACCTCAAATACCTTCGGGAAGTTTTTTCCTGGATTAATAAGTACGCCGATCGTGGGGAGGAACTGCTACTAGACGAACATGAGTCAGCACCCTCCCTTAGGGATCGTTATCTCGGTCCAGATTGGGGACAACGCGATCATTGGACTGACTAGGTTAGATACTACCTAAGTATACACAGTCCTACGGTTGGCTTTCTCGACCACTGGGATATATCTTCTAACCTAGGTAGTCATTAATAATCCTTTGTTATAAAAAAACAACCCGCCTAATGCGTGAGACTAGGTTTAATCTTTTGGCGCTGTCGGTATTTCGCCTGCAAGTGTTGATCAGCACACTTGATGCCACTCTGTAGTACTAGGACTCCACGGGGACTTATTACCTGATAATTGAAGAAACTATCTAAAGGTCTTGTTTTATCCTAATAGATGTTTCCAATTTTATATCCAACATAAAACCGAACCAGCTGTCATGTTTAAATCCTAACACGTAAAGCATATATCTAACTTATAACAGTTTATAGTTCCATCTTGCATGCCCTTTTTTCATATTCTACTTGATATTGAACATTGACTTAAACAGACAAATAAAAAATAAAGTAGAATAAACTTGAATACGAATAGCCAGAAAGTAGCTACCTAATTCTAGATACAATCAACTGACACTGATTGGGCCAATTCCAGCGCAAATCCAACCTCCCCCCCTTAAACAAACCTTAAGCATCACAAGCTGCGCTAACCCCGAAATGCACATTTATTTTTGCCAGAATCACAGTTCCGACCAATGGAGTTAACCTAGGTACCTACCTACCACCTATCCAAGCCAGCTTTGTTTTGCAAAAACATTAAATGAACCTAAGTATTCTGTACCGGCATAGATTTAAATTTAGCTAGGTAGGTAGTTACCTATAAAAAGGACTTTATGACAAATAACAAGTATTTTTAGTTAATTTAATCACACCAGCCAAAATATTCAACAAAACATAATGTGTTCGGGGTACTTGCAAGAGCGGTACAGCCTACTGGGAGCAGCGTAGCACAAAATCGGCAAATCAGCGTTCCAAGAGCTTGGGATCCCCGCATCAGATCTCTGTAAATCCTTGTCTATCTCCCGAAATCTGGGGGAGTAACAGGGGTATATAATGTATATAGGTAAGTACCTAATCCAAAATAGAAGGAGCAAATTTGTATGGGCTTACTCTCAGGGTGTGAATCAATGTTATATTTTTGATTCGCCAATGAAACTAAAGATCAAAGATCAATATTTTATTTTTAATATTTCAATCACGGACCCTTATTGGTGTAAGGTTACAAGAGACGGGATCAGTTACAAAAACCCCCCATACCTGCATTAAATACAACCGGTGTATATGATTAGAGTTCTTGTGGGGCAACCGTCATTGGCGCATCGTACAACCGGCTCCTTCCCTAGCAGCATTAGTATCAAATCACCCCTAATCACCACGCCATCTTACAACATATATATCTAGCTCCCCCCTCTTGAGGCCTCCGAATAAAATCTTGTCGACAATTCCCTCACCTTATTGTCTTGCACTACCAGTCCCTTGCATGCTTGACCTATTGGCTACCGTCACACCCACAAGACTTATTCCTTATTCATCCACTCACTCAAACCCACTGCTCTACCACCACTTGCAACAACCAGCCAACATGTTCTTCAGAAGGCTTCCTGCATTCGACCCTATTCGCCCAACGGGCATCGGATCGGTTCCTTAGGACAGAACCGAATTGATCACCCCCTGGCAGACGTTCCGCGAACATGTGAAATCTTGGTGTCGCAAGGTATTCTCTCGAACTAAGGCACGAGAAGAGGAGAAGTGTAAGTTCATCCAAGACCTAGGTGCCGTGATTGATTACTGACTAGGGTTATGCAGCAGCCAGCCCGACCCCTCAGCCCGAATCTTCCGAGCCTGGAATCTTCAACGCTGATGGACCACCGAAGCTTCATGTCTTGAGAGGCCCTACACTTAGCGACAGCCTGTCCGATACTGGCTTCATCCTGTACAGCGAACCCGCCAAGAAAAAGAAGAACAAGCAAGCATCTGCTGACAAGTTCCGCTATTCATTCAGAAGCGAGGGTAGCCGTCCTGTATCGATGATCACAGAGGAAGGATCTAAGTAAGGATTTGTCGCAACTTACCACTTCCAAGAAATGCTTTATGATGCATGTGCTCTCTATAGAATTCTGTGGTCCGCTGTTTTTGCTTGATATGTTGCATAAGTGAAGTATCATTAGGAGGAATCATTAGGCAGAATAGGATTGAGAAATACTCAAAATTGAAAGATGATGATGTTGGGCATTTTCTCTGTCTTGTCTTAGGAGCTCCTATGAATTGTGCTGACGTAACTGACCCTGACCTGGGCGGGCAACCCGACTAGCTCTACCAAGGTAATATGCCGGTATGTTGCATGTAATTTCCCTGGCATTGTAGAAACAAATCGTGATAAGAAGTTGAGTCGATGGGCAATTCGTTTTTATTCCGTGATTATGTTCTTTAAGAGGTAGTCATTGCTGTTGAAGTAGACCGTTTTGAATTTGTGTTTCCATGTTCTATCAGTTTAATGTCTCGCGTTGTGAGTGTTGTCTAACTCTTGGGCGCTCCGTGTCCTGACGGTATCCCCATCCAACATACCATAGGGTTTCTGTTCAGAGCAGCAGAAACGATTGCAGCTCAAAGTCCGACAGGTATTCCTGCCGATTGATTCTTCTGATCATATTGTAGGCCAGGAGAAGTAGATTGTTCGAGTTTTCAGGTTTTATATATACCAGAATTTGACAGTGAGGTTCTGGGAAATGTTGGTCCACGATCCTGCAGACTAATGCCTCTCGATGAATGAAGATAGGTCATGTACACACACTAGATGTTATTAGTAACTTTCTTAGCTGGGCCTTTGTCTGATATTTCTTTTGTCTTACCTTTTTATAACATGTAAATTACACACTTGTTAAAGTGACGCCCATACACCTTCTAATCCAAGACAATGCGGGAGAGAGCAGCACCGGCCTTAGTCGTAGGGTTGTGGTTAGGGTTATAGCATAGACTTATGAGTTTTGCGAGATAGTAGCTGCTTAGATAGGTGTTCCCGTTGGCATCTGAGGCAACTCTGGACGAGGGGGGTGCTTGAGGTCGACTTATGAGACAGCTTTTTGCACCGCCCAGCTGATTTAGCAGGTAGGTTATTTTACCCATAGGTGAAGACGTAACGTAGAAGTTAGTTGTTATGATCAATTATACCTCAGGCTTAGAAATAATGTTGTTTGGTGTCACCGCCAAGGTGGTTGTTTGGTAGTGACTGCTGGTTGAAAAGATGCCGGTTGTTGACGACCGAACAGAGTCTTTTTGTAGCATGCCTGATGTGATGTTTACCTGAAATGGTTTGTGTCGTATATATAACAGCTTACGCACATAAGCAAGTGTGAGTTGTTATGAATTGTTTTGGTAAGTCGTTCACACCACGAGTTATTAGTGTGACGATGCATATTTATGTTGTCGAGACGATAGTTAATAAAGAATATTGCTGGTGAATTTATCTTTATGTTATAGTGTTTTGATAGTTGGTCGATAGATATATATTGTTGATAGGAGTGAGTGTATGGGAGAAAGGGTGGGCAATTGTTGTGAGCGAGCAAGCAGGTTTGTTGTCTAGTCTCAGGCCCAGGCCCATATTGCCAAGTTTTCAAATACCTCAGTCAGTGGGATCTAGGTGGTATGGCTCTTAGACATTACCTACATGTACCTACCTAGTTAGGTAAATAAAGTAAAACACTTATTCCCATAATTTGCTCTACACCTTCCTATGTTCTGACATAACCTAGGACCCATATATAAAAGACAGGTAGGAGCACGTGTTTGCTTAAGGAAGTAATAGTAGGAGTAGTAAGAGCAATCATGTTTACGTACAACATATGCGAGTAGTACCCGCATATACACGTAAGGTATGACAGGACTGACAGTTGCCATACGCGGTACATGGTAACACGTATTAAATTTGCTATACACGTTTGTACCTTCTATAATATCTACAATTATGGTTAATAAAAAATGTGGATCACCAACTTGGCTATGGTAAGGCTTACATTTCCCACTTTCTGCATTATACTGCGTATTATTAATTGATCTACTTTGGAACTGTAGATAAATTGATCATTGCCGTGTTATCGCATGTGGAGGACTTAATCCTCCACCTGCTGAACTTGTAAATAACGCTTCATGATATCCGAAAGTCGAAAAGAGATCAAATGCCGAGTAAACTAGCCTTGGTATCTGACATGATGCTGGGGGACTTGATGTTGATTACTTAGAATTAGGTACTTATTAACGTGACAGTGATTATCAAGTCCTAAATTACCAAGACATATGTTTAAACTAGATAAACTGAGTTAAATAACTCCATGGGACTCAATATTGGCTCCAGCCTGAGTTGATAACATCGCTTAAGTCATACCCGACTATAACTTTCATAATATCGTGTAATAGCTTAGGTGATATTATTTACTGTAATACCTAATAATCTCACATTTAAGATACCCGACAAACCCCTTATAAGTTTATCTTTATTTCTACATGTCAATATCGAAGATATTTACACCTATAAGAACGTGAACTTACTATTACCGTCAAACTATAGTACTGTTCTCTGTGTAAATACAGCATGTTTTCTAGTATTGACATTATGCATGAAGACTGCGTTTCGTGGATTGCCATAAGAGAAGAACAAACCGCCCAGTCCCAGTCCATTGCACATCAAATACGCCAACATCACCATCTCCATACCCCCTATCTATCCACTCACCTGGCACCCCTTTCTTTCCCTCTCTCCTATCTCTCCCCCATCCCCATTCAAAACTACCCCTAAAACCCTCCCGTCCCCTGCACCCTCTTAACAGCCCCCACAACCCCCCTAGCCCAAGCCAACCTCCCCGCATCCACACCCGTCGCTCCCTCCGCCTCCCTCCCCTCCCCATCCCTCCAAATCCCATCCTCCCCGCCAACTCTCCCGTACAAATGCGTGTTCTGATTCCTCCTCAGTCCCGCAATCCAGCTGCGACAAATCAGCCCGCTGTCAATTAGTATATTAACCTCCTGGCTATGAAACCAGCTCTGCGTGTCCTGATTACCGTTCCCGACAACGCC